ATGTGGAAAACAAAACAAAACGACCCTTTTCTGCCTGCTTTGCCCTGACTACCCCCTTTATCCACAGATGATGCTCTCTGTATTCTACAGGCAGGAGAGGTAAAATCTTGAGAACCATTAAGCGCAGTTTATTTTTAATAAAGTAACCTTCATCAAATAAATAAAAAATAAACAAATATAGCCTTTAAATGGTAAATTTTCCAATGAGGAAGTTCCTATCCTTTATATACTAAGAACTCCTTAATTTTTAGTATAAATCATTTGAAAAGGATGCCAAAAACAATGGTACATCATTTTAAATGAATTATTTGCCTGTCAATTTAACAACAGATTTTCTCTATTATTTAATCTGAGTCCAGGAAACAAAAGGCCCTGAAATGGAGGGAGTTGTCCACACCAGTGGAAATCAACTCACTTTATCCATTTGGGTCAGACTAAGATTGTCCATGAAGCCCACGCTCTATTCTGTGCAGTTTTGTTGGTGCTTATGATGAAAAATGAGAGGGCAGCCATTTGCTTGCTTCTTTCATCCCTTTCTACCCTTGTTTATTTTCTTTCTTCTTGCTCCTCTATCCACCTCCACCCCATGGATCTGTCCTATCTGTCTACCTACCTAGCCACCTACAACTACAGATGTCTGTTTCTCCCTCTCTCCTCTTTACATTTTAAAATAGTAGACCAAGTCCTCCATGTTGCAAAGAACATGATTATTTTATTCCTACTGAGTTTTAAGAAAGAAACACTAACTGATCTGTTTGGGAAAGGGAACCTTTTATTCTTAGATTATGAGTGTCGGATTTAAACAACATTCTAGCTTGTGAGTGACTGTGAAGAGTTCTGACACTGCTGTATTAGGCTTTACCTCGATACCCTATGAGTCCTTTTTGAGGCCCTAAGATGTGGTTGTGTGTACGCAGAGAGCAAGATAGTTTACACTGTGGCATTTTTGGGGGGGGGCAGATTTAATCAAGTTATGTGGAATGGCCAATATTCCACATAACAGTCACACAAAAATAGCAATTTCACATGGTACGGGTTGATATGATGGGGGCAACGAAACTTTATAGGTCTCGATAAAATAAACCAAAAAACTCCAAAGAACTATGAAATCAACAAATCGTAATGCTTGTGGTCTCTTTTGCTCAGTCTAGGGACAACTGTGGCCTGGTGCTACTGTTCATTGTCAAAAACTTCTTGATATTTGGGAAACTTTCAATGAAATGCATGTTTCACATGGGAGGGGAACGGCCTCTGGTAACGATTGATCCTCACTGTCGGGTAGTGACGGATTCGCATTCCTTGGTGTCTGGTTTGTATCTGCCTGCTCTCTGCTCTAAGGTCAAGGGTCATTTTCATGCACTGATCATTAGGAGATGTTAGAGTGTTAGCAAGCAGGACAAGCATGACAAATGTCTGTCTTTCTGGAGAGAGAACATTTTCATCACAGCTATGTACACACCAGACATATTTCCCCAAATATTTGTGGCACAATTCAGTGAACAGGAGATCTACCCACTCCCCACCTCCCAGTCTGGCTACTGAAGATGCAACAACGACCAAGTCATAATACAGAGAGAAACCAAGAGCCAATCAATAAAGAGAAGCCTGCCCCAGGCTTAATTCAAGCAAGCCATTCACCGAGCTCATGTGATGGACCCATCAAATCCAGAACGTATCACAGACAGATCAGCAACACCAAGTGACATGCAATGAACAATGACAGAAGACCCCACTGCCATGCTTTGACCGGTTCAAGCTCAGAAAACAATCGCCTTCGGAAATCTGGACAGCTGGACTTCCGTGAATCAAAATGGGATTAAAAATAAAGACTGGGAGAGGTCGAGTGCTTGCCGAATGCTTCCTACCCGCCGAGAAAGGACGTTCACCTATCCCCATTAAGTGCGTCAATGAGACTGTAAAATTACCTAGTCCGGTCAGATCTTTTTCTTTTGGGGAAATCTCTGCCCACACCAGATGGTCTTCATTCTGGAGGTCAGCATCAGGGACTCCCAGGGTACTCCGAGATCATCCGCATGTGCTCATTGAACCGAGAAGATGATGGGCAGGGCGCTGCAAGGTGCCCATGAAGGACCTCCCGCACAGGCCTGGGGTTAGTGAGTTCAGTGTTTTTCAAAGGTCCCTGAATCTTTAATTTGACGAGGGCTTAATGTGCCCTGATAAAAGGTAAAAATTCTACCAACTGGGGACATCAAACTTCTTTGGCTTTCAAGATGTCTGAAGAGCGAGTCTCCTGATTACAGGGAAAGTTTGTTGCTGTTCTCCCTTTGATCAAACTGACAACCAGTGCGCATTACCCAAACATTCTCAGCGCCTGCTGATTCTCCTTCCTGTTCTGAAGAGTATCTGTCGGGTAATAATGAGTTTATCCCTTCGTCTTCCTGTCTTCTGCAGAAGAGGAACTGAGAGTCCATTACTAGTGATGTGCGGCTGTGACCGCCTAAGAATCATTTCTTAGACTGTTGCTCTAAGACAAAGTCTAGATTCTTGGCATCTTCAATCTAGATTCAAAAGCTATTCTGATAATTTAACATTTCTCCCAAAATATGAATCTTTCATAAAGTGATCTTCCTTCTCTGCATCTGCCTACTAAGAATAAAAGGAAGTCCCAAGGCTTAATAGAGACATTTTATAAATCAAACCAGAAATACCATTTTTAAGATTGTTTTCTGGGAATCTACTTATTACTACCTATGCTTCAATGAATAATTTCATATGACAAGTGCCTTGCTTATAACAAAGTTAAACAGGGCTGCTATCAATTTCCACAGTAACCACGAAGACCTAGTATGCAAATTTCTCTAAAAAACAACAAGAGGCCAATTATATGGACAAGAGGATCATTACTTGGTTTCTTCGACAGAAACCGTTACATGAAAAGTGGGCATTGCAGAGTTGTTCTAAAACCTGTACCTCTCTAAGAATGGGGGCATCTTTTCAGGTCATGTTGCCAACGGGAAATAGTAATAATGTTAAAATATCAAATTCCCAAACTACATCTGCATATGTGGTTTTCCAAAATGCAGAAAATGCTAACTTCATTTTCTGATGAATGCAAGTGGAGGTGGCCAGATACTCAAGTAATCCTTTCGAAGAATACTATTAAATAGTGTTTACTTTTTTCTGATGTCTGTATTGGTCTTATTGAAGAAAGCAATTTAAATTATACCTTAGTAATTAACCTTTTTTCAACTTGGGGAAGGATGCACTTACACTGAGAAGCAAGATAAACATTCAAAGAAATGAATGCGTTTAAGATTGTTATAATTATACAGCAGGCTAAAGTTACTATGATTATAATTATATACAAAGTGGGTGTCTGAGAATTTAGCATCTAGAGATATTTTCATAAAAATAATTAAGGGTTGCAGCTGAACCACATTACAATGGATACTGTGTGAATCTGAGTGTGCAGAATTTAGTAGCGGGAAGTCCTTCATTTGCAGAAGGATCTAGAGTATTTCTGACTTATTGACCCTCTTTTCCTAAATCCAGTGTCAAAAGTGTATTGAAGACAGCAACGTACAGGAAGCATATCTTGCATCTTGGCAGCTGATTATGGGGAATCTCAATCACTGACGTGTTTAGAACTGTCTTGACAATTATTTGTTTTTTTTTTTTTTTTGAAGCCTTCCTACAGACAGCCTTGAGAATTCACTGTGGCTGTTTCTAAGACAATCACAACACCTGCATTCAACCAGATAGTCGCTCTCAACTCTAACTTGCCAAAGAGCCATGTGTGACAAATTTATGCGTGGGGTTTCCAAAATGCGGCTTTTGGGGCTCAGGGCTTTAGTGCTTAGTGACATTCCGGAAGACTTCTGTAGCTACCATGAGCTCACAACACATCTTGTGAGAAATGGAAAGCAACTGTGGAGAAAGCACACCACAGCAAACCAAGAGGAGACCACATCACCACAGGCCTGGTGGGAGACCCGGGGGGCCGCGGACACCGCCCATTCCGGAGTCAAATACATCGCCTGCTTACCTGTCTGACCCAGCATGCCTCAGCCACACATGCAAATTGTTATCATTATTGTTTTATTCATGAAACAGATTTTTAAAGTAAAGGAGTCATTTCCAAAAGAAGCCCCCTCGATGACATTTGTGCATGCAGAGCGTCTGAACATTCGCATTTATGTCCTCAGAAGACAGAGCCAAGGATTGCATTCAGTATGGAAACGCACACTTTTCTCTCTTCAAGGCATCTGCAGAAATAGCTATGGCTTGCTGTTTCAGAAACCAGCTCATCTGTTAAGCTCGGGGAACAAAACCCTCCCCACCCCACGCCCTGCCCAGGCCCATCCATTCAGATTGCTGCATTTCTCCAGAACACTTCTGTCCCTTCCACTGCTAGTCTTCACTTGTGCTGTGCAAACCAAAGTCGGCTTATGTGCGCAGGGCTGAACGCTGGGCATTGCCCAAAAAGAAGGGATCTCCTTATGAAAGCCAGATACACTCCCCCTTGCTGTACTTGGAATTTCAAAATGCAGTAAAAGGGATGTTTTGCTGGGTGGGTGTGAAAAGTTATAAAAAGACAAAGAAGGGACCTGCAATTGAGAGAAACCTGAAAGATCATTTTCTGTTTTCTTGCTATGAGGCACATTTAACCATGGTCTTCTGTAGCAGACCATGAGAGTGTTGTAAGGGGAGTGAGCGTGTGTGTGAGTGAGTGTGTGTGTGTGTGTGTATGTGTGTGCAAGGTGAGTTGTCATGGGAATCGAGAGATCTGAAACACTACTGCACAGGGAGAAAACAATCACGTTCGTTTTGCCTTAGCAGAGAAGGTGAGAAGTTTAGGATGAACTAGGCTTAACGATTCATTCTCTATGTGGCCATGAGTTTGTCTACCCTGGGAACTGCTTCTGTGGGTGCTGCTTCCTTTGTCGTCATGCATGTTCACCAAGAAGGAAGACAACCTCCTCTCCCATCACCTAAGTTAGCTGCCAGGAGCTGTGGAGCACGAGAAGGAAAGCACTCACCTGTCGCTGTAGGCGGCGGCAGTGGCAGGGGTAGGCTGGGCGTAGCGGTACGCAGCGTAACCACCCTGAAACGCAAGGAGAGGCTGGATTTAGGCATGGGCGGGAGTGCAACCCAGGGACGCCCCGAGTGAGAGCACATCAGAGCAGCAGTTACCCACATCTACCAATCCAACGTTGAGGTTAATGGAAGCTTGGTGTCAGAGCAGAAGTACACAACACACTGAGAGAGAAGGGTGGCGATCAACCCAGCTGGGGTTAAAGGTTAGCGGTCATAGGTCCCAAAGCAAGAGCCCAGACGCTCTTGGAAAGAAACATACCTTAATGTTAATAGTGACTGTCTTGGGGTGGGAGGATTACAGGAGATTATTTACACACTCTTAATACTTTGCTGAACTTTCCAGATTTTCCAAATTGATAGTTTACCTTTATTTATTCGCTATTAACTTAAACTGTATTCTATTGATCCTGTATTATTTCCTTATAATTTTTTTCAATTCAAGTGGATTTTCTATCTTGCTTTATATTTATTTTAAAAGTCAGATACTGCTTCTGTTGTAAGTTTACTGGTACTCTCTTGTATATGGAGTCATGTAACCACTAATGTCATTGAAGAAGACATCGTTAGCTTTGAAAACGTTACACAGTTGTCACCAAAAAAAATGTTGAGCATCTCCTAAACGTTATTTTTGGCTAAAGATACCCCATTGCTATGTCTCACACTGATTCAGATGGAGAATTATTTGGTGTGGAAAATATGATAAAGTCTTCTAATTTGTACATAAAATTAAGAGGGAAAAAATGGAAAAGAAAAGTAATTAACACGTGGTTGTATGGAGCACTAATTGCAATCGCGCTCAGCTAAGCAAACAGGACGAGGGAACGGGCATGTCTGAAAGGAGCTCTGTTCAGTGGAGCGCTGATCATCAAACCGTGAAAATAACAAAGCTTCCTGCTCAACAGACCAGAGCCATCCATGAACCACTGTGGCAGGATCTCAGCACAATTATCACAGAGATCCAGTTCCCACGGACAGGACAAGGTATATGTGGGTTCTAAACAGAACACACAGTCCCATTATCCTCCAAGGGATGGATTCTCACCCTCCCAAAGCGGCAACTCTGGACACAACTGTGTGTTTGAGGGCATCTAACAGAGAACTCACAAATGTAGGGATGGCGGGTGGTGGTTTATGACATTTGGCAGGCGTCCAGGGGAAACTCAGTGGTGGGAAAGGAAACAGATAAAGCAAAAAGCATTATCCATGATGTAGGTAAACTGGTCTCACTCATTTCTTTTTACTCCCTTCTGGCTACAGCTACTTCGAGAGTAAAACTGCTATCACTTGCATAAAAATTCAAACAAGCTGCTTTATTCTTAAAGAAATTTGTTCTTTGGATTACTCTTGGAGAAGACACATCTAAAACATCTTGACAGATAACCACAAGTAATTTGCCAATTTAAAAAAATGAAACAAAGTTTCTCTTGGAAAAACCTGGAAGCTAAAAAGGAGGTCTTAGCAAGACATCACCTCCTGTTCCAAACACCGGGTTTTTTAATTACCAATGGGGAAACTCATTAAAAGTGCTGAGGGATTGTAAAATCAGAGCCGTTGTCACACCAGCCCTGAGCCAGGGGCTGAGGAGGAACTAGGTCAGTGATTTCTGGAGCCATTCTAAACTGCTAGCCCATCTTCTTGGCTTTCAAAGGATACATACAGGAAGACACAGGTGTGGCAGGCATACACGCTAAATTTCAGCAAAGTCGGGAGGGGCCAGAATCAGGTAGGAGGCATTAGCTGAAACCAACTGGAGCTGCTGAGGGGAAAAAAGGAGTGAAGGGGTGTGTGTGTGTGTACACGTGCATGTGTGTGTTTTTCCCTCTATCTCCAAAAACAACGACTACAAATGATATTTGCATTGGGGGTTATTGCAACCATAATTGGGTACTATGAATTTGGTCCCATCAAAGACTTCTAGCCACAGCCTATTTGAAAACCCTCTTGGCTTGAACTTCCCATCTCTCTCGCACCTTCTGCACTAATCTCTGTGAAAACAGGGAGCAAGTTTGATAAATGGGAAGGCACTGCCACAGTGCAAGCGGAAAATAACGTCACTGACAACTAGGTTGATGACTATGGTAGAAACGTAAAATGCAGGTGTATCATGGATCTGTCTGCACAACAGACCAGCCATCCATGACAGTTTGGGAATGCCCTCTCTCTCTATGCCTATGACTTGGCCTTTTAGAGAAAATATTGCTGTATAAGACAGGCACAAGGGGGTCAATGCCCTTGCATCTGTCTTTTTTTTTTAACCTGGAAACCTGTTCACAAATATTCCCAACGTCATAAGAGCTAGTGGAGACATCTTTACCTCGGTCGGTGGTCCCACTGCTGCCGTCCAACAGGCCACCTGGTGATAAGCGGACACTCTGTGCTGTCCACCATGGCAGCCACCTATCAGCAGTGTCTACTGAACACAGGAATTGTGGCTTGGGCAACTAGCTGAACTTTTAATTCATTTAATTTTAATTCATTTTAATTTAAATGTAAATAGCCACATGGGGCTGGTGGCTATAGAATTACACAGCACAAGTCCAAGCCATGCCTGAAACATGTAGTAATTGGGGGAAAAGACGTATTAGATGGTTTGATACCTCCACCTCTATCTACTGCCTTGTCTTTCTTAGCTATTTTTCTTTCCTATGAAATCCACATTATGGGAATAACAGAGTTGTGTATTAACTTGTATATGTGTGCATACACTGTAAAATGATCAAAAAATACAAATTGCTTTAATTTGCCTTTCTAACAGGTGACTCTAATCAATTTTATTGCTTCATATTTTGCAGCTCGCTGAGCATAGCCGGAGCTTCTGCAAGGTTCTGTGGTAATGTGTGAAAAAGGAGTATTTGCTTCTGGCTACAGCCACAAGGCTGGGTTCATGTTGAACTGGCTCTTCCCAACCTTACGACAAAGATGCATTGTTGACAATGAGATTATCTCCACCACCAAGGCAGAGGGAAAGGGGACTAGAGATACAACACAGCCCTACACTCCCTACTCACAAAATATACTCATGTTCTTCATGTTGGGCAGCAACTGCCTTGTATACAAAGAAATTTAAGATGTCTATGTGGAGCTCCCTGTCTCTACCACCACCACCTTTGTTAATGAACTCTCTGGAACATACCCACTGAGGACCTCAAAGGATGCTCCAGAAAAATTGTGCTTGTAGGATACTGACAGCAGCAGGGAAAGGAAAGCGTTTAGGAGCAGAGAGATTTGGGAAATTCTGGGTTAAACAAAAATAGAACTGCTGCCATTTGCATCAATAACAGTGATGACAACCCTGCATCTCCAAGGCTTCTCAAGGTAGGCTGATAATGGAAATCAAGGTTTTCATGTTAGAGAATTCTTTCCAGAAAAGATGTTTTAATTGCCCAATAGTCAGTTAAGAGGAGAGGGGAAACTTGTGTGTGGAGTGGACACGGGCATGATGGGTGGGGGTGTAATATGTGTGTGGTCTGTGCACCTCCCCTTAGCTTGAGTGCACAGGAAGGTAGCAGTGGGCTTAAACAAAGAAAGAGGCTTCCTCCTTTCTTAGGCTACTCAAGGGTCTGGTCTTGCTCTGTCTAAAGCGGTTGTATTGGTATACATGTAACTGAAATTACTGTAATAACAATGGAAAGGGTATTTTCAAAATGAAAACATAAATATAAATCATGACTCCCTAATTTGTCCGCATCACGTATTCCGCTATTATGTGGCAATGGAAGCCCAGTTTTCTTCCAATGTGACCATGAAAGTTGATCTCAGGAATTTTAACTATTTTTCCCTCTCATGTCCATGTACCTCTGTAATAACGTTGTATTTTTAAATGAAAATTCAGTCATCCATTAGAGAGTACTTTTTAAATTGACATAAGAAAAACAGAATAAAAACAGGTGACAGGAAAACTCAGGTAGTAACATTTTCATTAAGCATCCAGAGTTTTGGATTCACCTTTCTCTGTAGCTGTAGCTTGAATGGTATGGATCAAATCTGGAGAATCTCTCACCTATGGATATGCTGACATCTCCTCCCCCAGATTCATTCATTTGGGGGTTGTTTACAAAGGGAGGAACAGGCCACAGTGAAGCCAGGGAGGTTCTAGCAGAAGTGAGCTATGGTGAACGTGGACTATGTAAGTCTGTGATTTAGCCATTCCAGCAGACCCCACAAACCTACCAAACAATTATTCAGATAATCGGTCCAATGGAACTCTCTGGTTCTTTTCAATGAATTTGTGCTGCTTGAATCCAGATACTTTTTAAGCAAGGAAGGAACAGTCAAGCTAGACCTCCACTGTGATACACACAGGATCTAGCAACTTCATGGCTATGGCTCACTAACATCGCGACTAACATTGGGTCAAGTGCCGTAATATTTGGAAGGAACTTCCCCATGACAATCAGTGGACGTGTCAGAAGATAAAGGGGTGACCATCCATATTCTAGAAGAATTCACTTTGAAACTGGAAAATTCAGTGAAGTCTCTCCTCCTCCTATGTTAGGAAACATTTGCCCTCCCCCGAAGTGTCTGGTTAGTAAAGGACTTCAGAGCAGACCCACGATCAGAGTGAGGAGTTCTTCCACCAGTCAGGATTTCATACCTGCAGCAATTTATTGCCATACACAGGCTCTTGATACACTACTCTATAAGGAAACAGAAATGTAATGTTTTCAATGCAAAATGAAATAAATAAAAGAAATGCATAAGTCAGACAGAAACTCCAGAGCAATCCCTTTACAAGTTTGCTTCTCGAACTTCAGGGGACCATGAAAAACCAAAGGGGAGGCTGGGTATTGGTAACTCATTTGGGGGAAAATCTGTGTTACTGAAAGTGCTAAAGAAGATGGAGATGTGGGCAAAAAACACGCACTTTTGTTTTTGTAACATAATCTGCACTTATTTTTTTTGAAGGAGGAGAAAAAGGATACTGTCATGGCTCCTTACCTTTCAAAGCACATTCCAATGGTTCAAGTGATCTACTGCAAATCAACCTCTATCCTGTGATCAAAATTCTCTGGCAAACCTGAGGGCTGCGTGTGGACACCTGACTTCAGGGCACTTGCCACAGCAGCACAGCCACAACCACAATGGCATCATCTTCACTTATTACTAAATCACTATTAATCACTAAACCAATTTCCTCTAATGACACAGATAGCAAAACGGCATTTCATGAATTCCTGTCACCCAGGAGCTACCAAGGCTGCTAGCAAACCTGTTTGTCTGTGTTTACAAACCTTCTGTTAAGGTGGGTGTTTAGTCTAACGCCTGAGACCCACATCAGACAGCCTGGATTTGATCCTGGCTCTACTGCCCACTTCATTTTCCTAACGCACAGCATGGGAGGCAGTGGCGATGACTCAACTGGTTGGCCCCTTGTCACTTACATGAGACCTGGAAGTTTTCAGCTCCTGGGTTCAATCCTGGTCCAGCTCTGGCCATTGCAGGCATTATGACATGAACCAGCACATGAGACACTGACTCTCTGTCTCACTCTCTCTCTCTCTCTCTCTCTCTCTCTCTCTGATAAAGAGGGCAGGAAGGAATGGTGGAGGAAAGGAAAAGATTTAAAGAGAATAAAAAGTGATAGCACTAACATAAGTGTTGTGAATATGTCATCACTTCATTGCAACCTAACACTGACAAAGTATCAGCAGAACCCTGATGGCAGACAGGAATGTTTAGATGTGAGAAGTATTCATGGGTGAGGTCACGTTAGTGTCTTCAGTCTGCAGCGAGATACTCCAGTTCCAGGGCAGGCATTAAAGTGGTTACCACTTTGAGATTTAGGGACCTTCCCTACGGAGGTAGGTGTGTAGGGGTGTGTGTGTGTATGTGTGTGTGCACGCGTGTGCATGTGTGTTTTTTTTTTTAATACACAGTCTGGCTTTCCTTTCCAATTTAGTTTTACTTAAGCTCTCCAAGCTGACATCCCAGCTTGTGCAGCTATGCCTGTCAGTGTTCTCTGTCTTCTCTGTGTGCTTCCTCCGGCTCCCACTGCTTACGTGAACATTTCAAGTGGAGACGGATCCCCCGAGGCCCGCCCAACCCACCATGTCTCCATGGTCTCTTCTTTCTCACCCTGCCCTTTTCCTGTGTGTCACTGCATTTCTCGGATTTCACTCAAGGCAGCAAACAACGTTAGTCTGAGGGCTCAGGGTGTAAGTGCTGAACTCTGTAGTCCGCTCAGGTGCACTCAAGCCGATTATCAGGGAATATTTCTGGACAAATGATTTCTTCTAAAAAAAAATGTTTCCTCTTTTAGGAAGAAAAAGAAAAGAGGTAATGAAATTTACCCAAGCTCTTTGCTTGGGCCGTGGTGATGAGGGGCTGATAAATCAGATAAATCGCTGAGTACCCTGTGTCCCACGGGCTCCTTGATGGGCAGTCCCCTCCCCTGTGGTACGGGAGGACGGGAGCCAGGTGAGGAGTGCACAGCTCACACGGAAAACAGGGGCTCAGGGAGAAAGCCCTGGCGTGCATCTGCCGAGCGCTTGCTTTCCAGCTCTCTGCATTTCTGAAGCGGCTGACACTTCTTCTTGAGCTCAAACATGGGTGAAATGAGGACACCAATTTGTTTTAAGATATTTGGATGGCGGAGTGACATGAATCCAGAAATAACTGTTGTTAGCCATGGTGTCAACCAGAGACTTGTTATAACAGAATCTACAAATGGCAAAAATGCACTGGAATCCCATCAAGACATGCTGGCTAGCTACTGTGTGGATTCATTCTCTCTCTGGCTTCCATGCTCTGTTTCCTATCCTACTTCAGCATCCACGGACAACTCCTCGATTCTTTTGAGCAGTTCTATAATAATTATCTTCTTTTTATTTCCCCATCATCTTTTGGCCAAATGCCGTCTTCTTTGATCTCTGAGAAGGCCAACCAACAAGCGCCTCAACGAAGGATCAGCAACATGTGTTTCCTGTTCTTTGGTACATTTCTGGCTGTCTTTATCTGCAACTATTCCAGATGGCTTTTCAGGTCTAGGAAATGCAGTCCCTCGGCTGCTGCTTTCACACCGTCTGGATTAGTTCTGCTATTACTGATTGAATTATTTTAACTGGCCCCATCTGTTAATTGAAGAGGATTTTTGTTTTAACTTGGGTGCCATGGAGCAATAACAGTGAACTTGTACAGTTGATAGGCCAATCGTGAAAGCCAGATCCCTTTGTTTTGAAGTAAACAGGCATGTGCATGAGTACACGTGTGTGTGTGCCTGTGCATGTATGTGAACATGTCGTGCCTTCAGGAAGGAGGGCCTCCGGGGGGGGGGGACGCTCCTCCCCCCGCCTTCTTCCTCACTCTGAGACTCTCCCTCTTCTCAGCTGAGGGCCACCTGCACAGTGCCCGAGCCTTCTTTTTTTTTTTTTTTTTTTTAAAAAAAGACCATGCAGGCCGGCGCCGCGGCTCACTAGGCTAATCCTCCGCCTTGCGGCGCCGGCACACCGGGTTCTAGTCCCGGTCGGGGCGCCGGATTCTGTCCCGGTTGCCCCTCTTCCAGGCCAGCCCTCTGCTGTGGCCAGGGAGTGCAGTGGAGGATGGCCCAGGTGCTTGGGCCCTGCACCCCATGGGAGACCAGGAAAAGCACCTGGCTCCTGGCTCCTGCCATCGGATCAGCGCGGTGCGCCGCCGCAGCGCGCCGGCCGCGGCGACATTGGATGGGTGAACCAACGGCAAAGGAAGACCTTTCTCTCTGTCTCTCTCTCTCACTGTCCACTCTGCCTGTCAAAAAAAAAAAAAAAAAAGACCATGCAGGTCTTTCAAATCCATGTGCTCCAGCAGGATGAAAAAGGACCCATGGCCTCCAACACTAGGTGGCAGGGACCGGAAGCCCGCAGAGAACAAAGGCAACGGGAGGGAGGGAGCAGGCCTGTGGGGAAGGGCAGTGGTCCAGCAGTGCCGGCTGTTACGGTTGTGCTGAGCTGCCTGATACACTGCCCGAATGGACAAAGATGGCACTGAGAGCTGCATCAGCTTCCTCCCTTAGAAGTAATCAAACCTACAAACACCCTTCTCTGCTCAAGAAAATTGAGAAATATGAGGCTTAAGCCCGAGAGAGGAGGCAGATTTGTCTAATACATGGTCCAGGTCCTCTCCGGGTTGCCCTAAGCCTTTTAATTGTGCACCGTTTTTAATGAGATCAAAGGAGTCTAAGTGGGAAAGTTTCTTTAAATAAAATAAAACTCTCTCCCGATTTCCTGGGAATCTTCTGAACCATCAGCTCTTTCCCAAAAGGAACATCGAGGACATTTCCAATCATCAGAACACACTAGTATCCGAAGGGAGACAGCAACGGTAGCTTGAAAAAGTACGTTCAAGATTCCAACATCCCTCTGGCCAGGGGGAGTCGTGCATGGTAAATTCTGGAGAGCAGGGAGTACATTCTTTCCCTTACATGGGCAGGAGGTCATCAGTGAGCCCTGGCCCTGCTGCAGTGGTGCGTGGTCTGGTGGTTTGGTTCATTCCGCTCCCTCCGCACTGCCCCAGCAGCAGCATGCCAAAGCCATCCTCTTGTACAGAGCAGAGTTTGCAGCTAGCTCGGCAGACCCAGCGGTCTCCTTGGAGACAAGCCAGAAATGCACTGGGTAAGCAACACTCATATATTTCAGAATGTTTTTCTGTGACTTCTTTAGGTACTTGGAACTGCCCTTTGGAAAATCTTGGCATTAAAATACGGACAGTAGGACAACGATACTAAAGTGTTTGGGCCGGCTTGGGCAGTGACAGAGAAATCATTTGGTAAACCAGTCACTCAATAAATGATAGCCAATTACATTTTTGTTCTTAGCTAGGCTGAGGAAAATGCACAGCTCTTTCTTTCTTGGGTAGGTATTGATGGAATTTTTTTTTTTTTTTTAGTGTATTTTTTTTTTAAATTCTCCATTCCTTAGCTACTTGTTTCCATCTCCCAAGTGAAAATAAACAAAGCCCTGAATTCAGTTCTGTCATCTGTGGTCCTAGCGATGCCGTTTGCATAACTGCCCGAAAGGTCCCACGTGAAGCGGGCGAGCCCTGGCATTTGGGCTCCTCAGCTGCTTGCTCAGCTTTGGCCTGTCTCACGCTGTAACAGAAAACAAACTGAAAGTCTGGAGAAGGTGGAAGGGAGAAGGAGCAGCGGATGCTATAGAAAAGAGGAAATTGGTTGTTCACTGGGTGAATAAAGGCCATAGGGGTTGTTGGCTCATTTCATTACTGAAAGAAAACTAACCCACAGATTGTAGAAAATATACTAGATGCAATAATAGAACTTCAGTAAATCCATCATTGATGGAGATTAATACCATGTCTGAAAATTCTAACGATTTGAAATTCAAAAGGAATAAAATTAAATAACCAGTGTCTTTCTCATTTTCTACTAAATGGCATCAATTTGATCAGAAATTTGATTTTATTCTTCTTTGTTATTTAGTCTATAAAACAACAAATATGATTCCACTGCCTCTTTGAGGTCATGTGTAATAAAAATAAACTATGCCATTTAGAAAATACACTCCTCAATACTTCCCATTTTTAAAACTGGGTTTATTCCAAGTCATTTTTTATAACACTGATGCTCATGTCACCATATGAGAGACCAAGTGCCTCGAGTCCAACACAGGTGAGTTTAATCACAGTACCTGTGGTGAGAGACACCCTG